ATATTATATTAATTGTAGTTCTCTGATGATGGTGTAATAAACCGAAACGTTAGAAAAAAAAAAAAATTTAATTAGTTGTACCTGACCGAAATCCCCACAAAAAAAAAAACTATCAATATTAATTGATAATAACGGTCAAGAAAGGAAAAAAATATATATATAAAATGTAACAGAAATAATTTCGTTATACTGTGAAGTGTTTTTTTTTTGTAAAATTATGTATGGAAATAATTAGAAATTTTTGGTACATATTATATTTTCATTTTATTCCTTATTTAAACAGAACTTTTACCAAGAAGGATATTTAATATATAACCCTAATACCGAGATTTTCTTAATATAATTTTAATTACTTTGTGCTCTGAAACCATAGATATTTATTATTACATTAGGGTTACTAAGTTTGTCAGTTGCTTTCGAGGCTTTGAAAGGATCACATTGACGATGCAAAAATGCAGAAACACGTGTCTGTGCCAACTTTTTTGTTAAAATATAAAAAAATAATAACCAGCAATTTTCGTTATTATATTTCCATTCTATTCTTATTCTACGCATACGTAGTTCTGAAAATGGATGATGATGTGTAATTTGAAAAATGGAAATTTTCTGGGGTTCTTATTTCATTTCATACAACTGCTAGGCTGACAACTATTATGAACAAACTCTAGAGCACAGAATTATATATAAAAGAGGGTTCCTAATATTTTCTTCTCAGGGCGTTTTCTAGGATACCCCATCCTTGTATAAGTTCCTGCAAACTTCAGTGTATGAATTATTGATGTCCTGTGTCATGTCAGTCCAAACCCTTGCCCACACCTTATCCTTCCTTCTGGTAGTGGAGCAATCTACTTGCATAAATTTGTTTTTGATTTTAACTTTGAAATGGAAAGTGCCCTTTTTTTAATTTCTGGAACTACATACCCATTTATTAATATTACATCAGTGTATTTATAAAATTTCCACAAAATATCTCAGAGAGTCATTGTTTTTTTTTTAATTTAAAAAATTATTCTTTGATGAGAATATTATGCTCCCCGAGTTGATCTTATATTACTTTAGTGTAAAATGTGTACTAATCTCACTTTTCTACATAAAATCAAAGAAATTAAAAACAAATTTCTTTGGTAATGAAGTTTAAGACCTCGAAATCGATTTCCTGTGACTTTAGTTATGCAAAAAAAAAGATAAACTTGCCTAATGCAAAAATGAACATTTACACTATTAATGCACTTGGTATTATATCATTATTTCTCCAGCTACATGATATCAAATAACAAAATATTAGATTGGTAAAAATGTTGCTATTCGGTTTTCCGTTTTTTAGAGACAGGCCCAAAAAATTTTGGGTTCACGATAATCAAGGAACAATCACATATAATGATACAATGTACACGGTTAGCAAATAGTTGCGAATGGTTTTTAATAGGCCATGAAATAAACAAATAAATAACAATAAGTGTGATGTGTCAAAAAGTGTTCAGTAATTCTCCTATTTGAGAGTGTTATTATATAATAATGTTTTAAATAAAAGACTTCTTAGTCTCTCAAAACTCTTGTTTATTGGCAACGGGGTTCGACTACTCAAATAGTCATCTTCAGGCCAAAATCTGCAAATAATTTTGTTGCACATCATGTGATAAACAGATTAAAATTTTTGGATACTTACAGTGTTAATTATAAATAAACAAACAATTGACTACGTCTTGTCATATAATATATACAAATAAGAAATACAAAAAACGTATTAATAACAACAGCAACAAACATTTTTTGAAAACTTATCAATACGACTGACTACAGATAAAGCATAAAACCTAATGACTATAATATTTTATTCCTAAAATATAGGATGAATCTTTGGACACTAGGTATAGTTTTATTCCTTTAAATATATAAAGAGCGTGAGAGTTGCTAGTTAATAAATAGCTGAAAATGGTGCTAATAATTCAAAATTGACCTGACCATTTAATGAAATGTGATTTGATTTTGTTAATTTATAAATAGGGCTGACAAAAATGTTCCGTGGGACAGTGGCGTACGCGAAATTAACTAATACGAGAAACAATAAACTGTTACAATCTATAACAATGTATGTAAAACATACCCTCTTAACTAGCTTGTTTACTGCTTTTCACAAACTGGAGAAGATGTGTAGCCATTTTGCAGCATCAGGTATGTTTCTATGGTTGTCTCCATGAGTGATGTTCGCTTTAGTGAAAACATATTCTTATATTTTGAAAACGACCGTTCGACATCTACTGATGTAATAACACGCATACGTAAAATAGTCATTGAACGCACTTAATCGAATCTGGGGCTGCACTATCACATATTTGTCTTAATTTGGTAAAACCGGTATCTTTATTTAACACACTTGTGAACTTTTCTTTAACGCGCTCATTTGTTGCGTCACCTATATCGTGTAACAGTAGATTTACTTCGTCCACTATTTGCAGTGACTCCGCTAACGACAACGCACTGTTTTCTAATTTTTTTTATGCTTTCATGTAATGGTTTATACTTCCACGCAATATTTTTTAAAGATGTTTCAACGGAAATATCTTCGAATTTTGTCTGGCTTTCCTTAAAAGCTACAGCCTCATCTGGATTGAATTGTAGTATCACAGCTTTTATTTGTTGGAAATATTCAGCATAATAAAAAGCCGTGCAACCATGTTCCCCAACGTGTAAGAATCGGCTGTGGTGGTTCAGGAATACCGGGACACTTGCTATGAAATGCACGGAGACGTTTAGGAGACGAGGCGAGACACTTTTTTTGTACTTGCTATTAATGCATCCACCTCTGGAAAACCTTTTCGAATAGTTTCTGCCACAAGATATAAAGCATGCACTTTACACGTAACATGTATAAACGTACAACCTTGTTCTTGCAAAGAACGGCCTACCGAACGCATTGTCACGGCGCCATTAGTCACAAACATCAACACTTGACTTCTTGACAGTTCAAATTTTTCTAACGTCTCCAGCACCACCCTGGTAATTGTTTCGCTAGTACACTGAATTAGTCTTTTGCTAGCTAGTAATAGTGGAACTGTCGATTTAAGAGGGTCCAGTACTCGTACTATAACATTTAAAATAGATTTTTTTTTTACAATCTGTTGTCTCATTAACAGGTAACCACAGACGTGTATTTTTTTATTTCACAGTTGCGTCTTATTTATCATGTCTACGTGTACAGTTGGTAGATAGTTACATAACGCTGTGTGACTTGTTAACTTCACCTGGGCATTGTATTTATTCCAGAACTCTCGAAATGGTTGTTTATCGAGTACGTGCAGCAGAACATCACAGGCAATCAGCATTAATAGTAAATCAAACATAAACTGTGTTGTCGTTTTTTAAGGTTTTCTTCGCTTACCCCGCACATCAAATCTTTCTCGCACACTTTACAAATTATTTTAGCACCATCATAGAATAAATCCGGGAATTCACCTATGAATTTATTCACTTTGTCAGCAAATGGCCGTTTTCTACCCCTGCGTACGTTTGCCATGGTTTATTATTAAATTGATATCAACAATACAGTACAACAAATAAAATAAAAACACAAAAACAATGTGCAATACGCCCAAGTGTTAGTTCACAACTCGAAAGCTAATAATAGACTGGACTGGAGAAAGAGTTTCGCGGTCAAGGTGAATGCCGGCGACAGTAAGTACATCTGTACTCTACGACCATGATACACAGAAACGATTTGCAGCTTTATTTATAAATTTCTAGTTCTTCAAATGTGTTTAATAGTTTCCCTTTATTTTGCACATGTAATGGTTTAAAACCAGGAATTTTCCTCAAATGAATATTTCGTGTTTAGTGAATGGTTAGCAAAATGTGAATCTGTAGCATTATTTTTATACGATATTAGATGTTCTTTTAGGCAAGTTTTAAAGTTTTTATATGTTCCACCCACATAGGCCGCATCATAATTTGAACATTTCAGCTGGTATACTACACAATTATCCCAGATATCAGTTTTATCATTATAATTTGCAAATAAAACATACCTACTGGTAAAAACTATATTGATGTCAATTTCTTTAAACATTTTTGTATTAGGATGGAGGGTTGGCACGTCTAGCTAATACTGTGGTATGTAATATTATTCGTACTATTATTTTTTAGCATGAATAGGTTAAAGGCATTATTCCAATCAATTTTGTTTTGTCGATTTACAAGGCGATCAATTATTGATATTTTATAACCGTTATTTCTACTTATCTGTTTTATAATATGTATTTAGTCCTTTTCGGTATGACTTTTTGATAAGTACACAGAATAATCTATTAATTAGACAATGAAATACCAGTGAGACGAGGGTTGATGGGGTGAACTATGAATGCATACACCTATATCTGTTGATTTCCTACATATTTCAAAATGATGTATATGTATTGAATCTTCTCTTTTGGAATACCTTGTATGTTTATATGTTTGTACTTGTTTCAAAGGATTCGTATTACAAATAATAATATATATTCTTAAATATAAATTTAGGAGAGACAGCATTTCGCGAGTATTTGTCATATAAACCCTGTATGGTCACGCCTCTCTCAGTTATATCTCAGGCCATAAAGGCATAGGGACAATTACTGTATAATAAATCGTGCTGTAGGGATAAATAGACCGACTTTTGCTAGCTTTGCACGTGTTCTATGGTTAAACAGAATATATTATGGAAGGTCCGACCAAATGTAATAATAATATATTATGAATCACTCAGTGGCGGCACAAGAAATATATTTCAATAAAAAATGTCAGATTTTTTTAAATCACTAATTTAACATCGGAAACAAGAAACATAAGGTAGTTCAAACAGATTCAAGCCACTAAGTTTTTGTCCAATAAATAAAAAGTCAATTTTGCTATACTATAAACATTGTTTATTGCTAAATTGAGAAGCTTTTTTTACAAATGTTGATGACTACAAAATGTCAAATTTCAATAGAAGTTTTCTTGTTTGAAAGTTATTCAGATTAATGTGTTACTTCGTGGTCGAGTTGTGAGGACACTTGCCTTTCACCCTAAAGTCCCGGGTTCAATCCCCGGTCGAGGAGCTAGGATTTTTTCTAAAACGGAAATTAATCCTAGCATTAGGTGTGTGTCCATATCTCTAAATGTCTGGATGTCATGTATGTATATCTGGATGCCATGTAACAGTTCTAATAAATCAGTTTCGTAAACATTACAATTTTTTATAATAAAATTAGAAAAACTTTAGTTTTCCAAATGTCGGTAAGTCGTGTTGCCTTGGAGCACTTTTTAAGAATATTAAAAAAATCTAATTTATAAATAACAAGAGATGTATATAGTTTGATTAGAAAATGCTTGCTATAAATTACGCGAAAACAAAATTCTTACCTTTTGGTTGTTACAAATCTCTTCCATTTTATTCTATTGACATTGATCCAGATAACAAAAATTGAGCAAGCAGAATCTGTAAAATACCTTAAAGATAACATACTACCCGTCAGTGGAATCTATGTTACGGTTATGGGATCATAGCTTGCGGAAGGTCTGTAAAAGAGCATTAAAAAAATTAGCATTTATGCAATTTTTGTTTTGTTGTTGATAATGCTAAACAAATCTAACACATACTCCTCCGATGATTTACACACGGTGTTTCAGAAATAAGTACCGTAACTTGGGGAGTGGGTAGATATTCGCGAAATATTAAAAAAAGCTAAATACACGTTTCCCCTAAACCACCTCCTTTGAACTGTAGAGGGTGATAAATGTAGTACGGAAAATGTATTTTTTATTACATATAATGTTGAAGAATACAAACAATATCAATCGAATTTTGAATAAATTGGGGACTATTTCTTTATTTGCTCAAAATGACGTCCCTCAACTTGAATGCATTTCTGAACACAGTTGTTTGTTTAATTATTTTCCCTAAAGTAAATTTGTAATTGGATAACTCCCTACAAGCGTTTGCAATCCTTTCTCTAAGTTCATCTAGAGTATTAACTGGTTCTGCATACACTTTTTGTTTAAAATTCTCTAGATCCATAGGATTGAGCTTTGGCGATCGTGCTGGCCATTTCACAGGAGTATCTTCTACTCCACGACCTATCCGCTTGCCAGGAAATTGTTCATTTAGCCAATACCTTGCTTGGACTGTAAAATGAGGTGGCGCCCCATTATGCATGAACTACATAGAAATTCTGTGCTGATAAGGAACTTCTTCAAGTAGAAGCTTTAAATTTTCCCTAAGAAATTGAACATACTGATTTCTATTCAAATTTTAATAATAAATCCTATAAATTGGTTTCTAATTATTCCAGCCCAAACATTAATTTGAAACCTAGCTAAAAGTTTGCAACCTTTACAGCATGAGGATTCTCATCAGACCAGACATTCTCATTATGCATATTAAATATGCCACTTCGCGTAAAAGTTGCTTCGACTGTAAACAGAATATTATTACAAAAATCGCCGTCTCAGTTTACGAAGCAACCATTCGCAGAATTCAACTCTTGGCACAAAGTCAGTATGTAAAAGGTTTTGCACTTTTTGAAGATGGAAAGGATGTAATGCATTTCTTTTAAAACTCCCCGAACTGATGTTGCAGAGATTCCAGTTTGTAGTGATAAAAAAATTTTTATTTCACGAATATCTACCCACTCCCCAAGTTACGGTAGGTACTTATTTCTAAAACACCCTATATATGCTCTATAGTACTTGATCTAAGAAAGATATTTTTCTTGACCATTATAGTTTTTCAGTTTAATAATAAAGTGACACTGATACCATAACTATAACAATTTGACATCTTATAAAACTTTTTTTCTCTATCAAGGCAAATAGTTCAAAGAAGTTTATATCTAACTTCTAGATCTTACAATCAACTTCCAAAGAATATACAAGAAATATGAAATATTAGAAAATTTAAGTTTGAACCAAAAGAAATTATTTTTTAGGGCCTGCAGAAATTGGTTGAAATGAGAACATGGTATATATGCAGAAAGAAATATTTAGCTTTTTATGGAATTCTTCATGTAGTTTTTTTTGTAGATAATTCTTTATGTAGTTTTGCGTAGTTTTTTATATAGTTATATATTTTATACTTGTTCCTAAATTTATTTTATTTAACAGTTATATAATATACCACTCAAATAAAAATTTGAGATAAAAAAATAGAAGAGATTAAAAATGAGAAAGAAAGAAAGAAAATAGAAAATCACTGAATATATGTACATGTAAGTTTTCTCCTGCGGACAGCTTATGTTTTGTGGGTTTAGTTGGTTTGTATGTGATGTATATTTTGTACAAGATTCTTACACTGCAAATAAACGATATCATTATTTTTCCTTGTTTTGCACAACGTTGGACAGTCTTCCCGTGGCCTCAGAACCCCACGAGAATCACGCCAGCAAATTATCTACAGGCACCCCTCCATCCCGCAGGGTAAGTGTCTGTCGATCCCAGAATCAAATGCAAAAAGCAGACGGAGATGAAGATAACCTAGAAAGGTCGCCTTCTGATTTTGGCCTGCCAGCCACTCACCAATATTTTTTTTTGTTAGTTTTACCCAACATAGACACCCCTTCCTGGTCTCTGAACCTCACGGTAGAAGTGTCAGCATATTACCTACAGCCACTGCCCACATCCCGCAGGGTTAGTAGCTGTAGATTCCTAAGCAGAGGAAGAGAACCTAGAATAACCACCTTCTGTATTTGGCCGGCCACTTACTCAGCTGATTTTTGGTAAGTCGGTTTTGTCAGTTCCGAGAGCAGCGTAGGCTTCATACACCGATTAGGCCGACCATCTTAACCGAATAGTCAGTACAGCATCTGAAGCTCTTACTGGAAATTGCAATATTTAGTACGTTTTCTCGCCTTCTTTAAGCTGATGATTTCACGGCAGGAGCCGAAAATCGATAACATACATACATCACCTTGGTTTGAAGTCGAGGAGAACTATGTCAGGCTTATTGGCTTGAATTAGACTGACAGTCGGAAATTAGTAGTTCCTGTAAATACATTTCTCGTTCTCGACAATTAAAAATTCACAATTTTCAGAATGTTTTTCGCAGTTTAAACGGCAAAGAGGGTTTCATTTCATCTAATCGATATGAAATATTACTACAGTTTATACAGGGTAATCAAAAGGTACACTCTAGTACCAAAAAAAACTATCATTAACTCCGCCTCGTAATTCCGAGTACAGAGAGTGCTGATCACCCCATATAATCCGTGATATTACTGAGTATTGATTAGATGAAAACATCCTTCTTCTACGTCTTTTAAACTGAAAAAAAAAAGTTTCGATTTAATTTTTACCGTTAATTAATAACAAATTTGTACAAAATTTGATAGGCATCAATTAGTCTTATTTCTGTTAAAATAAATAGCAAGTTAAGCAAATTGTCTAAAATCTATGTAAACGCCTCTGACAATGAAAACCGCGTTTTAATATATTTCATAATAAATAAGTCACATGAGGCTGCCTCTTCTTCGTGACGACGCACCCCTCTACTTTATGCTCCCCTTAGGATATGTTCAATATAAATTTGTATATGGCAATAAACATGTTTTAATAGTAAATGAGAAACAGTCAATAAAAATGTGTGCGAAATTTAAATTTTATTTCACGTGTCATTTGAAATTTCCAACAACCCTACAAAAAGTGTCACTTGGTTGGAACGTATATTTTATTTTATATTCGGCTATTGAACGAGTGAATTTTACAGCATGTCCGGATTTTTGTTTGTTTTGTGCATGGATGCTATACTTACTTTTGTTGGTTTTATACAATGTTGCATTTCAGAAGCGGAAGTTTCTAGTTTTTAATGCTCTTTAAAATGGTAAAAATTCGACGGAACAAATTGCTTCAGTTTTTGCTTTTTTACCTTTTGCCATTGTACCATTTAACTTCGACTACGACAAGTTTAATTTGGAGATTTCATATCCTTTTGCCTTATAGACTTTTTTGTATTTCAACGATTATTTTTCACAAACACATACACCCACTCACCTAATACCGTGCTTATAAATTAAGATGATACATAACTGTATGAGTATAAAGGTGGTTAACTTTTCATTGCAATATACTGAGTCTGTCTCGTAAGATATAGAGTGTAGATTAAATTACACAAAAGTTGTGTATTTTCATAGCCAGTAATAATCTACCACGATATGGGTGATGTCTACATTTGTTCCTCATATATCCTAAAGATGTTGTAATTTGAAATGTTCAAAAGTGATACTTTTTTCACCACTCGTCAACTTCCTATTTTTGGGACTACTAGTTTTGGGCCTTCATCTATAAATCACTATGTTTAAAGTACCTTTCTTCAATTTTTCAGTGATGGCTTGATGTATACAGCCTAAGTAACAATTTTAGTTTTAAACTGTTCTATAAGATATCCCACAAAGTTTATTTCTAGACTATATAAAAATCTAAATAATATGAAAGAACTCCATAAAACTGATTTAAAATCCTTATAAGAGTATAGGGGCCCAGTTAGAGAGGAGCCTACATGTTTAAAACTACTATTGAAACTTTTAAGTTTTAATGAATCCAAATCTTTACTCGTAGAGTATCTGAAGAGTATTATAACACCATAATTTAATTATGCATATTCTGTCTCTTTACTAGTTTTCTTACCTTCCTGTTCTGTAGTTTGGTTTTTACCTGTAGGACAGTGTATAAATAAAATAAATAAAATAAATAAATTGAATAAAATAAATAAAATAAATAAAAAATAAATAATAAAATAAATAAAATAAATAAAATAAATAAAATAAATAAAATAAATAAAATAAATAAAATAAATAAAATAAATAAAATAAATTAAATAAAATAAATAAAATAAATAAAATAAATAAAATAAATAAAATAAATAAAATAAATAAAATAAATAAAATAAATAAATAAAATAAATAAAATAAATGAAATAAATAAAATAAATAAATAAATAACACAACCGGTTTAATTTATAATTCACAATGATAACAACCTAAAAATTCAGTTTTTCGCGACGCCACACACGTCTGCTCTACGCGCTTCCCTCGTGTTTTATCCAGTGTCTTATTTTTACTATAGTCGGGCCT